GTTAGGGACCAGTTAGGAGGTACTTGGTCTGTGAGCACTGTGAAATCTAACTTGGACAAACAGCGCTTTTCCTCAGAACATAAAGAAGCCTGCAAGTGGCTGGCAGGGTCGATCCAGCAGGTCCAGTGTCACAGCAGTGCCCAGGTTTCACAATTTCCTCCATGTTTTCCAATTCCTGCTTACAAGGTCGTGACCTGCTACCAGGGACCACGTCTGTGCATAAGACTAAAGAGGGTAATAAGCAGTGGGCATAGTATTTACCTTTTTTAAAAAATAAGAAACCTAGAGTTTTTTAGCAGAATTCTTACACCTCACTGCAAGGAGCTGCCTTTGTGTGAGGTGAGGATCTGGGGACCGAACCTAGGGCCTTTACACTGAGCTGTGCAATTTACTTTTTTGTTCTGATTCAGTTTCACTAAGTTGCCTAGGCTTGACTTGTACTTGTGACCCTCCTGTCTCAGCCTCCCAGCCTTCTGGGATCACAGGCCCAGCTAGCACTTCTTTTTATACTTAGACCCAACTAAAGCGGATGAGGAGCAAAGATTTCTCTTTCAAGTCACAGCGGAGGTGGACAAGGGAGAGGACGACGTGAGCCGAGCTGGCCAGACTGGGGTCACCTGCTGTGCTCTGACTGCAGTCCCTCAGTGCAGTCTCCAGCCTCACGATTCCTGTGTGTCCCATTTTTCTTTTCTGTATCAGAACATAACGTGGCATCCTTGTGCGGAGTTGGCTCACGTGCACAGCGCATCTTGATTCCTTTCTCAGCCCCTCCCACTCATACCTCTGCCCCACCTCCATCTCTTGGTCTTCGTCTCTTCTGCAGAAGAGCCAGCTCCCGGTGTGCTATGATCCGTTTTCTGTTTGCTCTTTATATTTTGGGTTTCTCAAACAAGAGACCCCAGGTGACATTAAAGCTTGCAGTCCACTTTATTTCACCTAATATTTCCGTCTCTGGATGCACCCACTTTCCTTCAGATGACTCAGCCTTACCTTTTTGTGGCACAGTAGTACTCCACTGGGCATAAATACGACATTTATCCATTCCTCTGCTGCTAGGCATAAATGCCACTTCCGAGCTGTGGCTATTAGGAATTGTGCTGCAGTAACACGGGTATGCATGCATCTCTGTAATGTCTTTAACTTTTTCAAGGAGATCCTTAGGAAAGAACCCAGCTAGTCCTTATAAGTCACATTACAATAATTTACAAACATTCATCCATCCAGCTCTGTGGTTATTTTCTTAGTGTGTTGTCCTAGAATTAGAATGCAAGGTCGAAGTGACTATTACTTTTACATCTCTTGCGTGTCCCACATTCTTTTCCAGAGGTCCTTTCTCCATGCTCCAGCTCATGCAGGGCTGTGCCCGGGGTGCCTACGCAGGACTAGATCTGCTCACCTTGCCAGGGTTGCGGAGCCCTGCCTGATGCAGGCATAGACACGGTGTTCGATGGCAACATAGCCTTGTTCTCAAGGCTCACACACTTGAGATTTCCGAGCACCTGGCTTGACGCCCCTGGAGGGGGCTGAGCTGGCAGAGGAGCGGAAACACTGTCCCATGTTCCCAGCAGGTGACAGATGATACAGGGTGCTTAGGGTGGGACAGGTCCTTGCTGTGAGGGCACCCTGAGGTTGTGGCACCCTGTACCTTCCAGGGCCTCTAGGGCAACATGGAGCACTGTCCGGGCTTGAGGCGCCCAGCAGCCCCTGCCTTGCCTTGTGTGCCAGCTTGTGGAGAGGGCGCACCAGCTCCCGGCTTCACACTTCTCTCATGTGCTTGTGACAGCCACAGTGTGGCCACACATCGGGCGGTGGCCAAGGTGGCGGCCTCTCCCCAGATTGGAGCAGGATGCACAGCTCTGCGGCTGTCTGCGGATATTGTAGGAGGGGCTTGGCATCCTGTGCAGGGGAACAGAGCTCCAACGCTCAGGCCACCACTGCAGACCACAGAAAGGGTGTGCTCAGACACAAGAAAGAGGATACTGGGAAACTTAGCAGGGGTAGGTAGAGGACAGAAGAAAACTCCTGGGACAGAGAGGGGACCCACAGCTGCTTATGTACATGTGGCCCGGACGACACTCCAGGCAGCCGTGCAGCCTGCGCCAGCCCGTCCCCAAGGACAAGAGAGGAGGCAGCACAGTGGCCAGAGAATCAGCACAGGCGGAGCAGTGTGGTGGCATTTTAAAGGCTGGGGCTGGGCGTGGTGGCTGAGGCCATGAGTTTGAGCTGGGGCTGGGCGTGGTGGCTGAGGCCATGAGTTTGTCTTAGTGACTTCAAGCCCAGCTTGACCTACTTAGTGACCTTGTCTCAAAAAATAAGAAAGGCTGGGCCAGTTCCAGTGGGCTGCATGTGCCACCACAGTTGTCTGAAGAGGCCTGCTGGCTGTGCGCAGGACTGTACCTCAGAAGGTCTCAGGGGACACAAAGGGGGCCCCAGGGCACCCTGGGGGTGTTTCTGCCACTACAAGGAACACCTGACACGGGTCCCTGTGAAGAAGAGGGTCACAGTTTTGGAGGGTCAAGAACATGGCGCTGGTGTTGTCTCAGTTCCGGGGAGCACATGGTGACGTGTCCGTCCTTGCTCTGTCCCCCTGCCCCACACCCCCCACAGTCATGGCAGACATGTGTGTGCTCACCTTTCTAAGAAGCCTCAGGAGAAAGGCTGAATCCCACAATCCCTCCTGAGGGCGTCCTCCCAGTGAGCTAAAGGCCTGCAAGTTGCCCTCGAAAAGGGTGCCACCACCTTTTGCCACCACCACGCTAGGGACCAAGGTCCAGCCCTCAGACCACACTGCAGCCTCCCAGGGAGCCCGAGTGCCCGTGCTGGGGAGAGCCTCGAGTTCCGTTAGGATGGTGGCTTGGAGAAGCAGGAGGTCACCCGGAAGTTTCCCTGACATCCTCCCTGGAAAAGAGGGGTTTCCTCGTGCACAGTAATTAAATTTCTAATCTGAAGCATCTTACTGCTAAGAGCATGCAAAAAGCATGCAGCGAGGCAATGGTAGACTGCAGAGTTAGATTCCCCTAACTGAAATCTCAACTGAATAGGCAAAAACTTGAAAGTGTGTTTGAAGAGGAAATTAACATTGATCTGTTTCTTTAGATTGCTGACAAGTAAAGTTTTATTTACCTTCAAATCTATTCATAAAAATTAATAAACACTGTAAAATTTAGCATTTATCACAGCACCTGCCTGGCAAGTGCAAGGTCATGAGTTCAATTCCTAGTACCAAAAATAAATAAATGAAGTTTCCATTTACAAGGAGTAGAGTACATGTGACTTCCTGGGAGCTGGGCACGCTCATAGCTCCCAAGAATGACTGCAGGGACCTGGAGCCTTCTCTGCCAGCTCCACACAGCCCATTTGAGCAGCAGTAATATGTGGACACCTAATCTTTGCCCCTGTGACTGCAGAGCACTGCCACCTCCTCCGAGAGAGGCCACATCTTACCTCTTTACATCCCTGTACAACATGGAACTGTCAGCCCAAGTGCCCCGCTAGAGAGAGGACACCTGCCTCCCAGGATGTGGTCTGCAGCCTGTAGTGTCCCAGTTGGGGCCCCTCAGCCGTGGCTGCGCCTGTGTGCACCCTGCCCACTGTGCTCTGATAGCCTCTGTCTCTCTCCCTGTGTGTCTGTCTGTCTGTCTCTGTGTGGCAGTGCCCACCAGCACCCAGGCTGCACCTGGTATGTATGGCCCCAGCACCCAACACCACACTGGAGACACGTTGGTCCCACTAGTGCCAGTCAGTAACCAATGTGCCCTGCAGGGACTGCCCTGCCTGACTGGAGCCCAAGCTGGGGCAGAATGGCCAGGGCCAGCTGGGCCCAAGCACCTCAGCAGGCACCAGGGCCTGCTAAGCCTCACCTGTATGCCCTGGTCATTTCCATCCTGGGGAGCTCTTGGGAAAGGTCTCAGTTTGCTACCAGTACAGGCTTTACATCTTCAGAGTCAACACAGGATCGAAAATATTTAGAAAAAAATAATGTCTGGACAACGCATTACAGACTTTTTCTTGTCATTACTCCCTAATCAACACAGCATTAACTACTTAAGGTACACACTATGTTAGACATTGTATGTTAACTAGAGATGTTTTAAAATGTACAGAAGCATTGTATAGGTTCTATGCAAATACTGGATCATTTTATAGAAGGGGCTTGAATATCTGCAGATTTTGGTAACCTAGGGGTCCTGGAACCCATTGCCTTTGGGTGCTGAGGGACAGCTGTTTAATACCTCTCTCCTCCTAATAAACATCATTTACACAAAGCACTTATGTCCAGAACTTTTGACAGTGTCCGGTGAAATGTAACAACTTTGTTTTCTTCCGTGGGTTCTGAAAGCTACCATGTATGGTACAAACGTTTATTTTACTTTTTACAGCAGTGATGCAACATTTCCTATTTAAGATAAATTGAAGCATATGAGCCAAAGGCGGTGAGTGAGTGTAGCCGAACGGTGAAGTACTGTGAACCCACAGGAGCTAACAGGGATTCCGAGCTGCTGGAGGGGAGGGATGTGAGGGGGAGGCTGCGGCTGGGAGAAATTATCTCCTCCTAGCACTGGTTTCCATGGCCAACCAGCACCAGCCTACTGTAACAGGTACCACTGGTCCCCTGCGCTTGGGCATTTGTTTCATCCCACAACCATGACCACGGGAGCTGAGTACAGTTGGCCCTCGGGGAACTGGCCCCCAAACCCCGCAGGCACCAAAACCCAAGAATGCTCAGGGTTTGCGCAGGACCCACACACACCCTTCTGTGTACTTTAGATTGTCACAGCACCTAGTACCACATGGATGCTGCGGAAATGGTGGTCGCCCTGCACTGTGCAGAGAATGGCCAGTCTGTACCTGTAAGGACAGGTATCACCTCTCCTCACCACAGCCCCAGTAGCTGCGGTCTGAGAGTGACCAAACCCGTGATGGGGGGGGGGGCACTGAAGAGCTCCCCGCCCGGAGTGAAGCACCTGCCTGTCCTAACCTTCTGCAATGTCCCCTTACAGGTTAGGACTCTGGAGCAATGGGCGACTGGAGCTTTCTGGGGCGGCTACTCGAGAACGCGCAGGAGCACTCCACGGTCATCGGCAAGGTCTGGCTGACGGTGCTGTTCATCTTCCGGATTCTGGTGCTGGGCGCGGCGGCGGAGGAGGTGTGGGGCGACGAGCAGTCCGACTTCACCTGCAACACCCAGCAGCCCGGCTGCGAGAACGTGTGCTACGACCGCGCCTTCCCCATCTCGCACGTGCGCTTCTGGGCGCTGCAGATCATCTTCGTGTCCACGCCCACGCTCATCTACCTGGGCCACGTGCTGCACCTGGTGCGCATGGAAGAGAAGAAGAAGGAGCGGGCAGAGGCGTCGCTGAGCGGCGACGACCCGCACCCCGCGCCGGCCTTGGCGCTGCGGGCCGGGCCGGGCTCGCAGGACCCCGCGGGGCCCGAGGAGCGCGGCCGCGTGCGCATGGCCGGGGCGCTGCTGCGCACCTACGTCTTCAACATCATCTTCAAGACGCTCCTGGAGGTGGGCTTCATCGCCGGGCAGTACCTGCTGTACGGCTTCCGGCTGCAGCCGCTGTACCGCTGCGACCGCTGGCCCTGCCCCAACACGGTGGACTGCTTCATCTCCAGGCCCACGGAGAAGACCATCTTCATCCTCTTCATGCTGGCGGTGGCCTGCGCCTCGCTGGCGCTCAACATGCTGGAGATCTACCACCTGGGCTGGAAGAAGCTCAAGCAGGGCGTGACCCGCCGCCTGAGCTCCGTGGAGACCCCGCCGCCCGCCGCGGCCCCGCCCCGCCGCACGCGCTCCGGGGGTCCCCGCAGGGCCCCGCCGCCGGCCGCGGACCTCGGAGAGGCGGCTGCGGACCAGGAGCCCCCCGCGCCGGCAGCCGCGCAGAGCTGGGCGCCCCCGTCCCCGGGCTGGGCGCTCGCGGGCCTCGGCCCCGCAGGCCACGGCCCACCGCCGGCGCAGGAGGCCGAGCCCGGAGACGGCAGCAGCCTGGCGGGGAGCGCGCCGGCCGGCACCCCGGAGGTGGAGGGGCCCGCCCCGCTCCCCGAGAACGCCGGGAGGTCCAGCAAGGCCAGCAGCGGACGCGCCAAGCCAGGGGACCTGGCCATCTAGCCGAGGTCGCTCCAGACGACTCTGTGGCACCGTTTTCTGGAAGCCCAAACCAAAGCGCAGTTGAGATCCTCGTCCAGAGCCTGTGCTGGAGCGTGCGCTGCAGGCCGCGGAGGAGGACACGAGGGTCAGTCGGTCAGGGTCCGTGTTCAATGCTTGCTGTTCTTAGCACTGTGAGTTCTAGCAGATGATGCCAGCGTTTCTGAGATGGGGAGGTCGGGCAGAGGGCGGGGGTGGGGTGGGTGGAGGTGGAGGTGCCCTCAGCAGTGCGGCCTGGATGTGAAGGCCTCCGTGGTCTCTGGGTAACTGTTCTGTTGCGATAAAGTGACAGGTGTCTGCAGCCCTTCAGTCCAACGATTGGGTTTTCTGCCCCTGAGCTCGCCAAGCCTCTGGACAGCCCAGAGAGCTACAGGGGCACTTAGCTCTACCTCTGCTTGATACGCTTAATTTAGAGTTGGATTTCATTTGGGATATTTGCCAAACTGCACTAAAAAAGATTTAGAGTGCGTCCACATAGTGTCATTTGAATTTCTGAAATTGCATGTGCAGCTCAGGATGACAAATTGCAGGCTTCATGGCAAGTGACAAAGAACAGTTACCCTCCAGAGGCAGACCGTGGGACAGGGCCCCGGGGCCCCTGGAGGGAGGCAGTGGGGACGCAAGGGCCTTAAGAGCACTGTGCAATGCTGAGGAAACTGATGTAAAAGTGTGGCAGGTATGCCTTAGTATTTATTTTTTAAAATATTTTGTGCTTTGATCCGAATGGGACAGGTGTACCACTTCCCCCGTTCCTTAGGGAACAAAGGTGCTGTTGCAAGGACACCGGCTCAGAGGTCGGTGGTTTGTCCTAATACATTCTACTAAAGATTTTCAACTTTCTTTAAAAAGAAAATCTTCCTAAATCGGTCAAAGTCTCTGAGAATGCACTATTCAAAACAAAAGCAGGGGGAAATTTACACTGTGAAATACTAGAAGTTGTGAAATTTTTAAATAAGCAATTAAAAGTTAACTACCATTGCCAGAAAAATATTCATACACAGGCATCAGTGATGATCTATATTTAAAAAAAAAAAACAGTACAAAATAAAACACTTCAAGTTTCCTAACCATTCTTTGCGGGCAGCTTATTTGCTTTCTAAAGTGTAAATAAAAGCGTCTGGGTTTCATGGCCCGCGTCAGAGTGTGGTGGGGTGAGGCTGCCTGCTCTCTGCCCCCAGGAGCTGCCCTGCAGGGCCTGTTCCTGCGTGGGCAGGGCCTCCTATAGGGAGCCCCTGTGGGGCACAAGTTGATTTCCTCATGGTTCACTGTGGTTCGTCACCTTTCACCCAAAGGCTGATACACCCACATGTGAGGAAGAGTGTGATTTGCAGTGCTCAAATCCGTGTACACATCTGCTTTTGTTTGTGAGTCAAACACAGATTGTTCACTAGTGTGTTCTGCTTGCCACGAGATGCAGTCTTACAGTCAACCACCAAGGCTTCAGAAATGCTAAGTTGCCACACATACCCCAAAAGCAGAATTAAGCCCTTTGGAAAATCATCTGTGTGACTTTCCTCAGTTCTCCTGGCCCCTTGCACATCTCACTCAGGCCGATTGAGATGGCCGACTTCTTTTTTTTTTTTTTTTTTTTAATCAGTACGGGGGATCCAACTCGAAACCACCTGCTTGCAAGGCAGGTGCTTATGCCGCTGAGCCAAATCCCCAGCCCCAAGATGGCCGACTTCTAACTCCCACACACAGACAGCAGGCCCCATCTCCCCGGGGGAAGGCATTGGGGTGGAAACCTTCCCTCCTGCTAGGAGCAGCAGGAGCAGTGATGAGAGGCCACAAGCCGGCTCAGGCATGGGTGTGAATGCTTCCTCAGTCCTCTACAATCTATGGTGATCAATGGGAATAAAATAAGCTTCCTGTTTACTCACCATTTAATTTTGACCGGGGATGAAGAAGAGAGTGATAACCATAACTATTTAGCCTTTACAGTTTAAAATTCTTGTCTGTGAAAATACCAGTTATTTGGCTGAATACAGCCTAGCTGACCCATTAAGTCCGTAGGTAAAAGGATGCAAAATTGGACTCACGTATTTAAAACCACTACCTTATTAAGAAGGTGTTACCATCGCACTGCCTATGGAACTTGCCCGGCTCGCAGTATACTGACTTCAGCTCACAGGAAAGTAAAGGTGCGCGCTGCACCTGCTGCCAATGCACCTGTGTCCTAAGGCTCGGCCCGTGTCCCTCATGGGGTATGGAATCACTCTCTATTTAATGAATCACTTTAGGCATTGAAACTGTGCAGTACAAATACATATTGCCTCTCCTTATGGACAAGACTCCAGACGCATTTTTTCTAGTTAATGATTTAGACATTTTACTGACACTAATTTCCCACTGAACTAATAAAAAAAATCGAAACATTTAAGCTTAGTTTAAAATTCAGGTATATTTCCACACATGCTGCTCAGTCCACACACACAGCGCCTTCTTACACCCCTGCTTTTAGGGGCAGTCAGCTGTTGACCCTGATACAATCTGTAGTGATTACAAAATGTTAACATTATTGTAGTCACAGGGCCCAAATCCTTATTTCCATTTCTAAAATATTTATTATCACTCACTTTCTAAGCTTTTATTTTGCTGGTTTTTTCCTTTTCATAAAATCCACCCAAAAAGTTTCCTTAAGTTTACCAAGAAAAGGGAGAAAAGAGCAAGCCAGCATATTTCTGGCATAGCTTGTCTTCATTTGATCTGGATAAGTTGATAGAGCATAGAGTTCTTATACAAGAATATCTGGGATAGAAATATAAATCAAAGATTACTTTATTTAAAATTAACCTATGGGCTGGGGGCGGGGGCAGTGATCCAGCACTTACCTCGCCTGTGTGAGGTCCTACGTTCAATCCCTCTCCTTGCAAAGAATAGAAATTTTAAAAGTGGGGTTTACATCTGTTCTAAATTGGGTTACTATTATTACTAACACTTCTTGTAGTCCTTTTAGTATTAATAAAGTCTTTTACTGAAATTTTTTCTTCTGATATTTGAAACATTATTTGTGGTTCTCCACCACAGTAAATACTTCTACAAAGTACTTAATAATTTAAGAGAGTAAATATTTTTCATAAAGATCAATAAATTCCTGCCACTAGTTAGAATATTTAGGTATAGTGTGTGAACATTATAGGTTTAAGGCCAGGAAAATGGTAGCTGGGGATGTAGCTCAGTGTAGAGTAATTGCCTAGCATGCATGAGACCTAGAGTCCATCTCCAGCACTGGAAAAGAAAATCAGTAAAGAAAAGAAAAAGCCAGGGAATGTATTTGTCTTCCTCCTTCTATGTTACATTGCAAATCTTGAAGTCTACTCACACTAAGATTTATTACCTAAATGATTTTTCTCTTTCCCTTTACAAAATGTCATAAGGCTTTAAGTCAGTTACTTAAATTGCACTGAAAGCAATTAGAAGGTACTGCATCTGAAGATATTTGTTGTGTTTTACATTTGACTTTTGTGTCATAACCACATCTTTCCCAGATTATACCATTACTGAAAATAAGCATTTTTTTTTTTTTTGAGATGATTTCACTGCACAGCCTCTGCCTCAGCCTCCCAAGTGCTGGGGTTATAGGCATGTGCCGCCATGCTTGGCAAACATTTCCTAAAGTAATAAAAAGTGGCCTTTATAGTTTATATTTATAGTTCTGATATAGTTGGTTAATTATTTTTATTGATAGGATCCCTGAGCAAATTTTCATCATGTTTTTATTAAATAAGCTTTTATTAAAATAAGCAAAAACCTCTTTCCTATAGAGACTTTAAAAATTTTTGCTGCTCATTCCATCATTCCTCAGGCTCTTCCCGGCTTAGAATACAAATGTTCCCAGGATTCCTGCAGCACTCCTGACTCACTCTTGCAGGGCAAAAGCTCCCCTCCTCCTGTGCCATGAGTCCCAGTGCTTCTGAGCTCCGTGGAGCAGATGAGAGCCAGGCTTGAGTTCAGGGTACCCAGGAAGGCTTTTCTGTGTAGAATTACAAAGACTCAGAGAGCTCTGTCCTGGCTCTGGAGATACTGTGGGCAATGCCTGGAATGTGTCTGATTTTATCTCAATCACAAATCCAGTTCCCACTCCACCAGTCCTGCTATGCAAACCATGTGTGGCATCATTTCCAAGGACACAAAATAACAGCATGAACCAGTCTGGATGTGAAAGCTCCCAGAAACAGGACTGGAAATCCAAAATCCTGCCATGATGTGGGTTTGGTGATGGATGCAGCCTTGGCCATCCAGGGCTTGCTTGGTGGCTCGGTTGACAGGGTGGCCCAGCTTGGTGAGAACACTTAGGGTGATGCTGGAACCCAGCATTGTTCCCACCAAGAGACACCATGGTGAGTGTGGCCTGGCTGCAGCAGATTGGGCAGTTCCCAAAAGAGAAGGCTGCAAGGTTAGAAAGGAGGCCGCCTCATGGGAATAAGAGGGGCTGCAGGGCCATGCAGAAGAGGGACATAGGCCTCAGGAGACTCACAGCAGAGCCGTGGACTCCTTGTGTGTGCTAAAACGTGGCCACAAATGTGGCAGATTAAACACTACAAAGTGGGCTAGGGTAAGGCTCTGCAGCAACACCCTTGCCTAGCATGCAGTAGGCCCTGGGTTCAGTCCCCAGCATGTAGAAAGAAGCAAAAACACCAACCAAACAGAAACCACCACAAGCCAAACAATTCTCCTTTGGTTCTAGAGGCCAGAGGTCCAAAGTCATTTCCTCTGGACCAGGAAGACATAGGTGCCATTGGTTTTGTCTCCAGGCTCAGGGAAAGGAACCCTACACAGGCCTCAGCACATGCAACACGTGGCTGTCTCTGCAGACATGGTGTGCGTGGTTGTATTCTTCCCTCACTGTCTCTGTTTATCACAAGCAGTTCAACGGCCCACCCAGGTGTTCCAGGATGCTGCCCTGAAAAGCTCTCTGTCTTAGTTTCTTGTCTCTCATTGCTAGAACCAAAATACCCAACACCCCAAAGGAAGGGAGGAAAAGGGTATGTAGCTCACAGTTTGTGGAGGTTTCAGTCCATAATCAGCTGACTGCAAGGCAACATAGCATGGCACAGGGGCAACACTTAAAGGTGGCAGAAGACAGCAAAGCAACAAGAGTAAAAAGCAAGGGTCAAGCCTCTTTTCCTCCCTTATATTCTAGGCAGGTTACCACTCCATCATGATGGGTGTAGCAATCACAAAATCTCCCTGGCCTCCTCTTGCAGGATGAAGTTGTTTACAAAGTAAGGACCCTGGCTCCCTGATGAGTGGCTTAAACTTCTGAACTTCTCAACTTGACACAATGTATCAACAATAACAATCCACCCTTTGTCAACTTGGCAACCAGACACATTTTTTTTTTTGTCTTTTTTTCGTTTTTTTATTGGTACCAGGGATCGAACTCACGACTGCCTGCTTGCAAGGCAGGCGCTTATGCTGCTGAGCTAAATCCCCAGCCCCAAAGACACATTTCTTTAAACAGATTTTCAGACACAAGACATGCTTATTTGGCCAGGAATATAGCTCAGCGGCATAAGCCTTTGCCTGGAAAGTTCAAGGTTCCAAGTTTGATCCCTGGTACAAAACAAAAAGACATGCTTATTCATATCATTTCAAAACTTAAACATAACACAGGAGGCTGGGGATTTAGCCCAGTGGCATAAGTACCTGCCTGGCAAGCATGAGGTCATGAGTTTGATCCCTGATACAAAAAAAAATTATAACACAGGTTTAACAATCCTTAAGAACCAGTACAAGTATATCAACATTATATTACATTAGAAGCATAACATTCCATCCCTGGCCCCCAAAGACTCATGCACACCTCTTTATGTCTAAAAAGACACTTAGGCCATCTCTGAGAGTTTCCTAAGTCCTAACAGTTTAGCATTGGTGAAAAGTCCAAGTCCCAAGTCTCCTCTAAGATGTAAGACAAACTCTTAGCTGCAAGCCCTGTTCAAATGAAAAGAAAGTTAAACACTTCCAACATTCAGTGGCACAAGATAAACATTACCATTCCAAAAGGTACAAATGGGATTACAAAGGATTGGGACCAAAGCAAGTCCAAAATCCAGCAGTGCAAACATTGAATCCTATAGTTCCACATTCAGCATCTAAAGCGATCTGTGGCAAATTGTGAACTCAAAGGGCTGGAGTGACTCTACCCCCATAGCACTTCTGGTGGTTACAGTTTCTATGGCTGCTCTCTTAGGCCTGCTTTGCTCCCTCCTTACAGATTTCCTCAGAGGATCCATGTTCCTGGCTTTTCTAAACTTCTGGGGTCTCCACTGCATCTTTGGCTTCACACAGTCCTTTCAGGGGCACACTCCCTGGCTTTCCAGGCCTTCTGAAATTTAGGAAAAAACCTTTTTAATCCCATAACTCTTATATTTTGTATGTACCTAAAACCAGCAGCATGTGGATGATGCCACAATCTGCTGCCAGCTGGAGTAGTAGCCATGTTTTCCTCTCTCTTGGCTGTAGGGGTCAAGTCCCAGGATTATTAGGGACTCTGAATCCAATTCTGAGGAACAAATTTTCTTTGCTGCTGCCATTCTGGAACACAATGCTCTACAACTTTTTCCTTAAAGCAAAGTCTTTCACTTTTGTAGTTTTGAAGTTGCAAAGGGTAGAGGCTTACTGCTTCTTGTAATGGCCTTGGACCATCTTTTATATTCTCAAGATATCCTCGGTTTTATCTTTGAGGTCCACAGCTTTATTGGAGCTTCTTTTCTGGCCAAACTTGCAATGTTTTAAATCATCCTGCTGGGCTTTTTGCTCTTGATTCACAACATAAATCTGGCTAAAAGCCCCCAACATTAGCTATACCACAGCCTCAACATTCAATTGCCTTGACATTTTTCTGCCAGATTGATTAGTCCACCACCCTTAATCTTAGTCTCAGGCAAAGACTCTGAACACAAGCCAAATACCAACTTTTTGCCAACCCATAACATACATCAACTGCAATCCTGCACCCAATGCAGTCTTTTCCCGTAGAAACCTCCTAAGCCTGGTCTTTACTGGCAGAATTTCTATCAGCCTTCTGGTCTTCCGAGCTCTGACCAGAATCTCACATACAGAACAGCCTAAAACATTCCAGCACTACTATTTCAGGCAGTATCTTCGATCTTTCCAAACTCTTCCTACAAGCCATTCCCAATGGTTCTTAAGCCATATGGTCAGCTATATCCACAGCCATGACCCCACTCCTGGTACCAAATTCTGTCTTACTTTTGTTTCATTGCTGGGACAAAAATCCAACACCCAAAATTAAGGAAGGAAAATTTTATTTAGTTTACAGTTTGTGGAAGTTTCAGTCTATGATCAGCTCCAAGGCAAGATGGCATGGCCCAAGGACAACACTTCAAGGTGGCAGAAGGTAGCAAAGCAAAAAGAGCAAAAGAAGCAGGGGGAAATCAAGCCTCTTTTCCTCCCTTCTACTGTAAACAGGCTATCACCCTATCAGGGTGGGTGTAGCACTCACAAAATCTCCATGTCCTCCACTTGCTCAGGCTGAGGATGTTTACAAAGTAAGGACACTTGCTCCCTGCTGAGTGACTTTATTAAATTCTAAACTTCTCAGTTTGGCACAATATATCAATCATAACATTCCCTTTCCAGACAGATTTCTTCACATATTCCAGGGATAGGGACACAGTTGGGGCCATCTGTCAGCCCACTGCAGAGGGTGTTGGGATCTCAAGTTCAACAAGCACTTTTTATCAGCTTCTCCAAAGGCAGTGTGCCTGGACCTTTCCTTCCTTGGCATTTCTATCCAAGACAATGAAATGGCCAAGCAATGCCCAGGTGGAGGGGTCTTGTTGACTGGGAGACCTTGATCTCCCACTTTGGGATGAATCCAACTAAAAAGTTACCAGAGACCCAAATGAGAATCTGAACTTGGGTCCAAAGCCAAGCTCAGTCCATGCAGGACAAACCAGTGACAAGTATCAGCATGGATGTCACTCAGCAGGCAGATCAGAGCCAGCTAGGGCA